TTAAATACCACAAATAATTCTCCACGTGCTATTACCACAGCAAATCCTATACTTACTGCAAAGATTCATGATAAAATGCGCTATTTTAATGGATTTGATGATTTCGAACCTCAAATATCTAATAACCATTATGTATATGACTTTGATCTTGGTCCTAAAAATCAAAAAAACAAAAAAATCACACAAAATTATGTGGATCTTTTTATCAAAGAGTTCAATGTTCAATTTGAAGAAACACGTATACATTTTTCAATAATTGTTTAAAAAGGTTATATGAATATATTAATGTTTAACATCTTTTAAATTATTTTGCAGAAACAAATGAAAAATGGAATGAGGCCACGATTACTGAAATTGCTGAAGCATACTTCAAAACCTTAAAAAAAGAGCGAAATACTACACCAGCTATGAAACTTTTAAATGATCAACACTCAAGACGCTGCAAGCGACGTGATACAGTAACTAAATAAATATTTTCATATGCATATACACTTGCTTATGATAAGCTGCATCAATTATACAATTGAATTATTATACGTATTTATTTTTTTTATTAGAAATCATCTAATCGTTTGGCTGCTTTAAATAAAATTCCTGAAGAACAATTAAGTTATCCTAAAGGTGAAGTTGACTTCAAAAATCTAAAATTCTATAATTCACATTAAATTTTAAAATTTTGCTGAATTTTATATAATATAAAAAAATATAATTTATACATACTATTATACAGAAAATTTTCGATTTAATGGTATAATAACAACAAAATTTTTTTTATTTCCTGATATCTTAAATCCACTTCCTTTAATGAATCGACTAATAATTTTTTGAATTGGTAATATATTTTCAAATCCTCGTTCAATAAATTGATCTTCCTATAATTTAGTATGATAACTTCCATCTGCATTTGTAGACAATATATCATCATGTGATTTGACATAAAAGTAACTTTGCTTTTGTAGATCTCTTTTATACCAATCAACTATAGCAAGAAAATGACTAGTAGGTGTTGTTGAATTTGGTAAAAATATACGATGTTCAAAAAAAAACTTAATCACTCCTAGCCAATTAATTCTTTTACCATCATTTAGTTGCCATCGTGCAAATATATTTGAATTTAAATCAGATCGTGAAAAGAATGACTGATATATTTCATCTCCAAGTTTAAGAGCTTTTGCTCGACGGATTTTTACTGTGAAAGCTATAATTCAGATAAATATTTGAATAATATTGAACAAGAAATTTAGTCATCTTGATTGATAAGGTAATCTTATGAAAAGGCCCAATAAAATAACCAGGAAATTGTTCTGAACCAGTTACAATATAATTAATTAATCCACCAGACATTGCATGGAAGTCTAATGCCTCTTGAACTGTAAAATTATAATATCCCAAAGATCCAGTTTTTTCAATATTAGATTGTGCAATTAAATCTAATGATGATAAAAAATCTTGTGGCAAGTAGGAATAAGCTTTGGCTTTAATTTGTTGAATATAAATT